GGCTCCCTGCTCGGCAGGAAGCCTGCTTCTCCCTCTCCCGCTCCCCCTGCTTGTGTTCCTGCTCTTGCTATCTCTCTCTGTCAGATAAATAAATAAAATCTTTAAAAAAAAAAAGATTTTTATTTATTTATTATTTTAGAGAGAGAGAGAGCATGGGGAGGGACAGAGGAGAGGGAAAGACAAATCTCAAGCAGACTCCCCACTGAGCACGGAGCCCGAGGCGGGGCTTGATCTCACCACCCTGAGATCATAACCTGAGCCGAAACCAAGAGTCCGATGCTTAACCGACTGAGGCACCGAGGCGCCCCAGGAGAAGTGATATTTTAAAAAGCATTATTGGGGCACCTGGCTGGCTCAGCTGTAGAGCATACAACTCTGAATCTCAGGGTCATGAGTTCAAGCCCCACGTTGGGTACAGGGTCTACTTGAAATTAAAAAAAAAAAAAAAGCCTTATTTTCTGACATACTGTAGGAAGGGGTAGGTAAGGATTGACATAAGAAAGTCAAAATTTCTTATAGAGAACTAGCTTTTATTTTCCTAGGTCATCATTAGTCTGTTCTTGACTCACCCCAACTTTTCCCGTAGCACCCTGTGCTTACTCAACAGTTCATCTGATAAAATTTACTGAGTACCTACTATGTGCTAAGTACTAATCCAGGTATTAAGAGATACAACGGTGAGCAAAACAGGGCAATGCCCATGCCTGCTCAGAATTCACAATCTAGAAAGATAATGCCCTAAATAAACACAAAGCCAGAAGTCCAGGACTATCGTGTACCTGGCCTGCCTTTCTATTTGTCCTGCTCACCTCAAGACCTGTGCTGCCCTACTGGGGTACCAACAAGGCACACGTGTCTATTGAGCATGGACATATGGTCAGTGCCACACATTAAAACGATAATATTTTGGACATATTAGCTTAAATGTTAATAAAATTAACTTTATGTCTTTTTCCTTTTTTCAGTGGTCTTCTTTAAGGGCCGGAACTTGCTCATGGCTGTGTTCCCAGTGCCCAGCAGAGAGCTGACACAACAGGACCAAAAAACAGCTCAGTCAGTGCCCCTGAGACCAGAAAGGCAGGCAGGGACTCAAGAGGCTGGCAAGGGTGTCTGGCTGAGCTTGGAGAAAGGGGGCAGCTACCGAAGGCTTCCCCCCAGAGAAGGGAGGGCTGTACTTGAAGGTCACTCAAGCCCCAGCAGGAACAATGGATTGAGCAGGCAGGAAGTAGATTCAGGGAAAGGATATCCAAAGGTGAAGGACCTGGCTGGGACCCATGATTGGGAAGCCACATGGGATCAGTACAGGGCAGCAGACATTCTGGAAAAGTCAGTGAGTAGCCAGGGAGATCTATTCTGCCTCCTCAACTGATTTTAGGTCTCCAGCCTCTGGCACCCTCAAGGATGACAGACTAATCCGCCCACAGGGGTTTGACTCAACTGTGCTGAGAAAAATGGGCACCGGAGTAGTTGTCTATCTCAGTGTGGAAGGCCGACCACAGATGAAATATGCTTCGTAACACCGCTGAACTCTGACAAATTTCCTCCCACATTATACTGTGGGGCACACCCCTCCCTGATCTCTTCCTGCATAAAAGTCTTGTAAAAATAGGCCACCATATGGAATCTTCTACCTCTGTTATTAAAGGGGATGTGCTGTTTCCCGAACTCAGGGACGAGTGGATAAACGGTAACTGTTGCTTTTCGAGTCTGTTAAGAGCCTGGAAATAAAGGTGAGGTAGGCGTAGAGGTTAAGTTTAAATTAAAACTGAAAGAGGGAAAAGCAATTACCTCCCCACTCAGAAACACACCCTTCATTATGGTGCATATTTACAGATAATTAAGATTAAACTTGGTCAGGAGAAGAAGTTAGAATGATTAAGACTGAGTGCTAGAAGAAGTCTTCTGTCAATTACATATAAAAACAGCCCGGGACTCCTAAAACAACAACAAAATAACAAAACTTGACAGCCTCAAGAAGCCAAAGGTGTCCACTGATCCCAGCTAAGATTCCTAATAGACTGGGCACTCACCCACACCCTCCTCTCCCCAGAGCTACCCAAGCTTAAAAGAAGGAAAAAGAGCTGCGGTCTTGGCCAGAATGTGTGTGTAAAAACTATAAACACAAGCAAAAACTGAACAGCCAATACGGACCTAAGCGGAAACACGGCGCAACAGCTAAAGTCTGGCCAAACCGCATTAATTCTGATGACCTACACTGCGGCTGACCTTTAGTTTATAAAACAAGTTTCACAGAGTCAATTTATCACATAAACAAGACTGAAGAGATGTGTCTCCGATATTTTAGAGGAAAATGAACAACTGTGTCCAACCGCTCCAAAAGCGTCTCTTGTGACCCCCCTCTGATTTATTCCTGCGAGCAGCTCCCCGCAGTCTCGGCAGCTCGTCCACGGTGGGTGACTCCCGGGAGGCCTGTAGCCAGCGAAAGGAAAGCACCCCCAGGAGGGGACCCGAAGCCCTTTGCTCTTCCCCTCCTCAGATCTGTGCTGTCCAACAGGGAAGCCGCTAGCCGCGTGGGAACATGGAGAATAAAATTAATTAAAACGTAGTGAAGTAAAAAATCCAGCTCCTCGTGTCTCGACACCTTTCTCAGGAGTCTGAGAAACAATATCCTGTTTCTAAACACGCCATCCCCTTTATGCTCTTCCTCTGTACCTGCAGACCCCTCTGTGCGCCATCCCCGAGGGCAGTCCCTAAGGCACTGGCATTATCTGGGGGGGGGTCCCCTCCTCTTCCTCACCCCGCCATGGGCTCAGCCCAGAGGTGACCGTGTGACACACCCGTCCCCCTTCAGAGGGCTGAAGTTATTAGTCTTTGTTCCCAGAGCCTACGGATGTCCATCCTGGCATGGAGGCACCTGCCTCCTGATGCTGGACGGTGGGGGCCAGATCCACAGTCTGTCTGAGGAGCTGAGTTGGGACCAGGTGGGCACCTGCCGGCAGGCTGGTTTTTGCGAGGCCATGAGCTAAGGATCTGCACAGATGAACGTTTACAATTGATATGGCAACAAGGCAAAGGGGAATAGTAGCTTTGAACCCCAATGCAGGAATGTTCCCAGAAAGAATTCCCTGATTCTGATTAGTAGACCAGCATTATCAAAAAATTGTACTTCATCCAGTATATTTTGAACTTTGTTAAAAAAAACTATGGAAATTTATTTTCTCTCTTATAATGTAAGTACCTATATAATATCTTCCATTTTGCCTCTAGGCCTACAAAGCCTAAAATATTCACAGTGGGGCCCTTCACATCTGGCCCTGAGGATTCACACAGAGGTTTCTCCAGTGCTATCAGCCGGCCCAGTCTCCTCTTGGCACAGCACCAGTTTGGTCGCCAGCAATTCGAGCCAGTAAGGGTAGGACGGGGCTGGCTTCATTCTTGGAACCCAAAGACACTGCCTGGAGGAAGAGGAAATAACAGACCACAGGCCTCCCCCCATTGGGCCGCCTGGGACTCCTGTTCCACTCTCCTGTCCCAGCTCCTCTCCCTCACTCCTTTTATGAAAGGCTAACCTGAGAGGAAATGACATTTTTGAAA